GGGGGGGGGCGCTGTCTGGGTCCATTGCAGTCGCGCGACGCGTGGGGAGCTCCGCACAGAGTCCCCGCCGCCGCCGTCGTCGCCGCCGCCGCCTCTGCGTGTCGGAAAAAAGATTTCGCGTGAAAGAGTGAGGAAATCCGATTACATCGCGCCGCCTGCTCGCGTCGTCGCGCCGTCGCGCCGGGCAAATGACATGAACGGCGAAAAGACCCGCGGCGGCAGCATCCGGCCGTACAGAGAGAGGCGGGGCGGGGCGGGCGGCGGTCGGATACCGAGCGAGAGGTCGCGCGGTGACGTCAGCGCGTTGCGCGTATTTATTTTTGTTGTTTCCATTTGACTCGCTCTCCCTCGTGACTGACTGGCGTGTGTCTGTGTCTCTGCTCTCTCCAGGCCGGTGGACCGCAGCCGCCGGGACGCGGACCTGATCGCCCACCGCCTGAGGCGCGTGGAGGCGCTGGACCGGCTGCCCTCCAGCATCCTGCACCAGCTGGCGCTCGTCGGCTACTACGAGGACCTGGAGAAGGGTGTCACCCGTAAGTATATCACGTGACTGCTGCTAGCGGGGCTTGCAACTTTGTAGCGAGCGGAAACTTTCCTTCGTTAGTTAAATCTCCTCGTAGCGCAGTGAACCAAAGTGAATGAGAAAAGGTAGTTCGTTTGCACTCTCGCCGTCGGCAGTCTGGGGTAAAGAGTTTATATTATAGACGGACGGATAAACCTTTCGCCCGACCCCGACAGAACACCGCCGTCGTTCTCTTCTTCCCTCTCCTTTCTGCTCCTCCTTTCTGCTTCACTTCCTCTCTCTCTCTTGCTGCGTCAGAGACGCAAAGCTTTCGAGCTTCTCGTCTACCGCCGCCGTTTCCGTCGCTATTTATCGCGAACAGCAGTAGCAGTAGCGTAGCACAGGGAGAAAAAGAGAGAAGAAGAAGGAAAGTTGCTGGTTGCTCCACGACGAAACTTTAGCCGTGTGCTCCTGGCGCTCGCTCCTTGGCTCCGGCTAGGATCCCGTCCGCTGTTTGATTCCGAGACTAGAACGCCAACGCTGCGCGCACACACGGCTTCCCGGACGACACTCGATATGGGGGTTTGGGGTGGCGTTTGGTGCGGGGTAAGCGGCTCGAGGGCGGAAGGACGTTCTCGGAGCGTTCTTCACATTCCTCTCTCGCCCCTGGATAAGATCTCACGTATAGCCCATTCCGGCCAGGAATCGAGGGGGAAAAACCGTTTTGCGAACATGTGACAATGTTCACCTGAGAGAGCTGTAATAATAACACTGCCACCACGTCTTATTTTTGGCTCAGAGTAATAGCGTAATAAAACATTTTGTACTATTTTGTAAACGCGCCAGTAACATAAAAAAGTAGTAATACTCTAGTAATTAATAGTGACCAGCCGGCCCATCCACGTCAGTAGGATAGCATGGCGCACTGGAAATCCGAAATGTCCTAAAGTGTGGGTGACAGAATAAATTCACACGCGCTCGTTGTTGTGCAAACGACAACTTATTTCCACTGTTGCCGGTTGCGGCAGGCGCTTGTTCCGCGGTGCGGGCGCGTCGAAAGAATCTCAACCATGATGATTATGCGTTGACCCATCCATAATGGTATGGGGTGTGTTTATACGTCCAGCGCTGGACAGGGGCGGGGGGAGGCTAGCTACTGCTGACCGTCCGGCTTTAGCTTCCGCGCGTCTGTCTGACATCATCACGCGCTGAATATTTCACACACACCACACACCCCTTGACCCACCACCAACTGGCTTTCTGGCGCCACGCTGCGTGACTCACAATCTCCCCCTTTACCCCCGGACCCGCGTCACCGTCACGACGTCACGTGTCGTGTCAAAAAGAAAAAATCACCCCACGTGTGCGTCAACGCTGCCACGTGTCCGTGGAGTTATCGCGCGTGCGCGGGTCACGGTCGGTCGGCGGGCACGCGCGGGTTACGTCACCACCACCCTTCACCCTCCTGACTCATCAGTCGGCAAGGGTAGAATGTCAAGCACGGCGCGCCCCGCGTCCCCGTGTGACCCTTGCGGGCTGCCTCGGCATAGGCGCCGCGCCAACTTGGTGTACTTTTAAAACTATTATCGCGCACCGTTGGTGGAGCACGCAGAGCGTCATCCCGTCCCCACCCCGCCCCGCCACGTCCTGCCATACCCTGCCACGCCGCGGCGCGAAACATACATATTTTACGCATAGGCCTTGAGCGCGCGCAAATCTTTGAGGCTCTCCGTCGAGAGCCTTACACACGTCATCGGCACGTCATCAATCTGAATCCATATGGGGGCCTCAGAATCCGTCCGGGACAAGCTCTAGGCCCCTAGTTCAACCCCATAGATCCAAAAACTGTAATTGATTTCCAATGGTCTACTCGCACTGAGTGAAGGTTTCTGAAGTTATTTGTGAACAGTTCAAAGACAAGCAAACCATCTCGACTGAACGTCTGTGTGACCATGTCCCTGTGTGTGTGCACGCGCATGGAGTATAGCCAGCCAGCCAGCCGCTCTGCCGCGCGGAAACCGCTCCCTTGTCTCCGCGACAAACTCAGTACAAACAGAGTCGGGGGCAACAGTTACATCAAGTTTTCAACCGGCCGCTGGCAGCTGCCCGAGTGTATGAGTCGGGTGGTGGTGGTGGGGATGATAGCGGTGCGCTTGACTGGGGTCAGGAGCCGGCGCGGAAAGTTTCGCGAGCGCGAGCGAAGAGCAAGGGGGGATCACGGCGGCGCCGGCGGCCGACATTTGGAATGAGTTTCCTGCCGTACTATTCAATCGCGGTGGCCATCATCATTGTGTGTGGTGCCCGCTTGTGCTGCGGCCGCCGCTGGTGTCCTTGGGAGGGGATCGGGCGGATCAGGGATGCTATACACAACATTTTTGCCGAAGCGAGCAGGCGGCAGAGTTGGAGGGTGTTTGGTGTGCGAGGAGTCTGCGCGCTCGCTCGGCGGGGAGCCGCCGCCGAGCCGTCTGGCTGCCCATCCTAAACAGCGTCTCAGCGGGGC